GAGAAAAAGGAAGAAACGGTAGTCGCGAGTGTGCAAGGTCAGGCGCCGTGACATAATCGGCCGACCTAACGATGCCGCGGCTGCGTTGTGTCCTTCCGATCGGTTTCCGTAACGGAACGTCGGGAAATTCACCCGGGAAAAAAATGGCATCACCATTTTTTTGTTTCTTTTTTTAAATTAACGTTAAAGGAAACGCGAGGACGTCGCGGTCGAAGGGGAAGCGCGCTCGCGTGCTCGCGTGCTCGTGAGTCACTCGCATTTGCATTGTCGCGAAAAAAAAAAAGGGCTCGGGCAATTTCGGTCGGCGGAACCGACGTTGCGGAGCAGACAACGAGATGCCTCGATAACGACCTTCCGGGTTGATTTTCCTAGGGGATAGCCGGACGGTGACGCGGTCCGAAGAAACGAGGACGTGGCGCACGCCACGTAATCCCTCTCCCTTGCCCTCGCCGGCGATATCAACCACGTGAGTCAACGGCGAGTACGCGCAAAAGTCTTCGTCGAGTCGATAGGTCGATTTGCCGGGCAGGACGAGGAGGAAGGGCGACGGGCGATCTCGCGTCCCGTGGAAACGCTCGCAAGGACGTTTCGGGTTTTTTTTTTTTTTTTACCCCGAGCGGTGCACTTATTCGAAACGGATTACGCACTCACGCGGGATGAACACGCTCGGCAGAAATGCGAGCCGCTCGACCGGCGAGTCTATTCCCAGGACGACGGTGGCAAAGTTCGAGCCTCTCCGACGCTTTTTGCCCGATTTTGCGTTCCGAGCGCCGATTCCGTGCCCCAGTGGTCCACTCCCTGGCTAAATTCACCGTCGCATACATATACGCGATGCCCCGGGTGGACGTAAAAGGATGGCGGGTATTTTCGTGACTTTTGGACGGCTAGGTGAGACGGAAAACGTCGTCGCGGTCGAAGTCGCCGGAGAGGAAGTCGGAACGGGGAGTCGCGCGAGAAGTCGCAGCTGTCGTCGATGCTCGATGATTAATCGTTTGAGTAATCTCGATAATAAGAAACATTCGCCCGATGGAGCTATGAGACATTCGGCGACTATTCGCAACAGCGGCCCGCGGGGCCGTCGGAGTGCGTAACGCGCTCGGAAGCGTTATCGCCCTCGGTGACTCACGCCGTATTAAACATCGACGACGGATCCGGTCACCGGCGGATTCGGACGCGACGCATCTCCCTCGCGGGGTTAACGGCGAATTAGAGACTTTGAGGGGATATTTTCAGGGGGTCTTGGCCCCCTGAGGGAATAGGAAAGAGTCGCGGATGGCCGTCGTAGAAAGTTGACCGCAGCCGCGGAACGTAAAACGACCGCGGAGATCGAGTTCTAACCGCGAATGCGCGTTGCACGCGTTGCGTAAAATTCCGCCACCCCGGCTTAAACGTCTCGAGTAAACGGATCAGTCGAGGCCGGAGAGAAATCGGGACCTACGCGGGGTTTCGGTCGCCCGACGAATCCTTCGGAGGAAACTCCTCGTTTTCGATAAAGGGCGCAGGAAAGGAGGAGAACGAGGCAGGAGGGCCGACGGCGTTGCTGCACTTCACCTTTCTCTTTCTCCTCGGCGGACCGGCGACCGAATGCTTCCGACGCGCGTCGTTACGATCGCTCAACGGATGACCGGTCGAACCCACCCTGGGGTACCCTGGTCTCGGATCGACCCGGATTCGGCCAAAAAAATCGGTCCCCTCGGGGTCAAGACTAGGATCGTCGACCCCAAGAGCGGAGCGTCGCCCTTTTATTTATTGAACTTTCTTCCTCGCGAACGCGGCGGCCGACGGCGGGACTTTCTCCCGGACGTCCAGCGGACGCGTCGATCGATTTTGGCCCTCCCGAAAACCGTGCCGCGCCGTTACGACTTTGCCGTGTCTCTAATGGCCGGATTCCGCTCGGTTTACGAGAGGAAACGAGCCCCCTGGAGCCGTGGGAGTCGCCGTTCCTTTTCCGGCGCAATCGCGGCCGATGGAAAGCTGAAAGTTTTATGAAAGTGCATCGCGCGTAGCCTCCGTCGTCGAGGAGTCCGATCGAAAAACCGGTAGGGGCCGATAAGTGCGGATGCAGAAACCGGCTTGGAAAAAAACGCACCGCGTCCCCGTCCGTCAAGGAGTCGGCTCGACGCGGTCCTCCCGCGTCTCCGAGGCCGCACGAAATCCGCGAGGGGGGGATGTCCTTTTTTTCCTGCCTCCGTTGCTTCGTTTCCCGTTTTTCCGGAAACGCGGCACCGACCGTGGCGGCGAACCGGTAACGCCTCCGTTTTTTAATCCCGGAGGAAAGTGCCCCCGATTACGGTCTCCCGGGCAATCGCTATGAAACAATTGCGACGTAATGGAAGTAATCGCTCGCGATCGCCGGCGGAGTTGGCGTTGCTCGTGACGTCGCTTCCGGTCGGGTCTCGTTGCACAAAAAAAAAAGAAAAAAAAAGAAAATTGAAGCGGCGTTCCGAAGCGATTTCGCGCGATCTCGGCGACAGTGGCATTGGGATTCCGTTACGTAAAAGCTTCCGATTTCTTCTGAATCTAAAGCGAATTTGATCGATTCGCGAACAACTGCCGCGTCGGCAAAAAGGCTCGACCGAGCGTCGCGGTAGCCGGCCATGTTGGACTAGTTAAAGGAAAAAGTGGAATGATCACGTGCGACCAGTTTTTCTGGAAGCCGAGCCGTCGCGAGCGACCGGGGCGTAGCGATATTGGCAACGAAGGTGACAACTATGACGATAATCGCGATAATAGCCGCGGCCGGGGGAAACGAGAGTCGGAGAAAGCGGCCATTGGTCGAGAATAAGACCGAGCGGATCTCGCGTGTTCCGTGGGCAGCGATTGGCGGGCAGCCGGCCGGTTTCTTCGATTTCGATTTTGCGGCCCAATTAGCGGAAACGGCCGATCCGGCACTTTCCTGACGGGAGGGACCTCCGTTTCGCCGGTCCCCTTTGCGCTAAATAACGAAGACGATCGACTTTCTCTGCTCTTGGAAGTCGGCGCCTCCGTCCCCGCTCGGTCCTAAGCCGGCTAGAAAGGAGGTTACCGATTTTTCCGACGGCCCCGCCATCCTCCGACTCGATTATCGCACCGCGGGAGAAATTCGACCGGCCAAGAGTCGCGCCGATTTCGCTGTTTTTCGACCCCTCCGCCCCGCCGGACGAGCGGGCGAACGTCGAAACGGACACGCGTCGCCTGGCGATCTCTTTCGAGTCGAGCTCGTTTCCGAAACGGCAACGAACTCGGTTTCGAAATCGTAATCGGTCGGCGCTGGGCGTAATAGGCGGAATAGGCGGAATAGCCGTAATACGCGAGGAAGACGGACCCGCGCGTGACTTAGGAACGCGCCGACGCGCCCCTTCCTCTTCCTCGGCCGAGCGCCCGGTACATATGTAACCTCGGGTAATAAGTATGTACTCGCGGGTACATGCTCGTGGAATTTCGAGAGCGGCACCCGGCGAAACTTTCGAAGACATTGAACCGAGCCGAAACCGACGAAACGTAAACGGAACGCCCGGGGAGTTATGGCGGACGCCGGTTACGACTCCGTGATTTGCGCCTTCAAGTTCACGGCTAGCGCGCCCCTTTCGGCTCGGCGATTATTTCGATCGATTCTCGATGTCTCCCCCGTCGATCGACGCCTCGCGAAGGAACGAGCGCGCGGGGAAACGCGTCTCCCAGATTTCTTCCCGTGCGTCAAAGGTGCGTCCCGAGGTGATCTCGTCGGAGCGACGTCGAGGACGAGAGATCGTCGAAAAAACGCGACGTCGATCGGCGAGATTACGGGGTTACGTAAAAAGTGGCTCGCCGGGACGGGGGGGGGGGGGGAAAGAGAGGTCCCGCCGTATCGGGGTTAAGTGCTCCGATGGCAAGTAGAGACCTACTTTTGCCGAACTAGACTTAGGCCACCGTGAAACGGTAACTTCTCCCACGACCAGATATTACCGCTCGGACCTTTCTAATGGCGGCCCAAGGAGAATCGTTTTCTCCTCCCACTTAAAGAGCCGCGGATCTCCCGGACCGCCCCGACCGGACGACACCTACGCCGCCGCGATTTCCGCGACCGGGACGGCGAAACCGGGCCAGATTTACCCGCGTCGCGGATGCAGGTCACCGTGCGCGGCTTAGAATTTATGGGGACGAACGTCATCTCGAGCGGGCTCTATCCGCTTTCGTCCACGGGTCACGGATCAAAGCGGAGAATCGGGATAAGGGCACGGAACGGGTAATTCGTGGGCATGCGCCTTAAACGGTGTGGAACTTTCGGCGGATCTCTTCCTCCGGAGTAGGCTAGCTCGGTAGGACTTTCTAGAAAATAAAGTAGAAGACCGCTCGGCCAATGGAAGCCCGAGCCGTTTCACTTTGTGCAAGGGACGCACCTTCCGTTTCTACGACCCGTAATGCACCTCTCGAGAGCCAAAAGTACTTTCTACCGCTCCGTTTTTCCCCGCGAATATTTTCACCCGGGTCCCCGTGAAATCGGCCCGTTTCCCCGAACCTACGATTCGAGCTCGCTAATTGCCTCCCCGTCTCTCTCGTTGGCGATCCTAGCTTTCGATCCGACTCGGGGAGAGCCTGCGTCGCGAGGGGCCAAAGAAAGGAAGGACTCCCGGCGGGAGGCAAGGGGAAGCCCGGCGTCCGAATTTCAGGGATTCTTTCGCGTGCGATCGCTCTTACCTTTTTCTTCCGGCCAGGACGTTGAACCGGCCGAGCATTCGAGGTCGGTGAGAAGAGAGTCGCCGTAAAGTTAGAAGTTCTCGGCTACTCTCCCCGGCGGGCACTTTCACCTAAGGTGAAAGATGGAAGACTGACGACGAATGACGGGAGACGGAGGACCTCTTCCGAGAGCCGGTCGCGCGCACTTTCCGCCATCTTGCTTTTTGGCTCGCGCGTTTCCACGGCAGGAATCGATAGTCGAGATCTTTCCTTTATCGATCCTTGTTTCTCTTGCGTCGATCCCTCGCTTCGATAGTACTCGAGGACGATTCAACCCGGCGAGCCCAGATGACGTCGACAAGACTGGACGACCGAATCGCGGCGACCATAACCAAAATTGACCGAGTCGAGAAAGTGGACACCCAGGCACGGTTCTTACGGTTTCGACAACGGAGACCAACGGCCCGAATAGTGGATGACTGTGACCCACTTGTGCCGCCATTACGGTTCCGGTGTCACGGTGAACTTGCGCAACGTGACCCGACCTCCGAGTCGACGAAGATCGATCGCCGATCGGCCGGACGAGCACCGTCATCCGAAATCGTAAATATTTGGATTTGGAAGTTGTACGTTTCGTGGCTCGTTTTTAAAGTAAAAAAAAAAATATGTACTCGGCCCCTACCTTGCGTATCGGCAGTTGGACGGTCGTTCGAAACTCCACCTTATCAGGGTGGACGAGCGACCATGTATTACAATTGTATCGATCAACGGCGGTACCGCGGAGATAAGGAACAAACAGAGATCTAGATTATCACCGAGGTGTGATGGGAGCGGGTAACGAATATCACGTAGCACTGGCGGGCGTGCGATTTTAATTATTTTCCCGACGCCATATTGGCCACGAAAGGATCGTGACGAAATCCCGCGATCGCGCGGGAGTGCGCGAAACCATTGATGGCACGTATAGAGCGATAGGGCGATCTCGAAAGTCGAGAATCGTCGAATCCTCGAAAAAAAGTCCCGGCGGTCGGTCGAAGATCGAATCTCGTTTGCTCGATCGCGCCAAGAGATATCCGACGTGGGGGGCCAAAATCGCAGAAAATTAAGGTTTCGTCCATGGGCGTTAATATTCCACGCCATTGTTCGCGCGATAATGACGTAAATTGGAAGGAGAGATACGGGGAGGAAGGATCTAATTTCGAAGCAGCTGGGACGAAAGTAGGCCACTTATTTCATCCGTGCTCTCGATTCGTAAGAGCCAGGAGCCATTTTCTGTCGCTCTTACAAGGGCAACGGTAATAACAATGATAACTCTCGATGCGCGCGGAGTAACTGTACGCCGTGATTTTGTAGGTTAGGCTCGGAAGGATGACGCGAGCCGCCTAGCGGACGACTCCACGCCGAGTGGTTCTTGGCGTAGCGGAAGGTGGAGGGGAGGTCAAAGGAGAAAAAGACGGGAAGAACGACGGTAATGTAGGTCAGTAAAGGTATATGCTCGACACTTTCTCCGGACCGTTTGAAAACTGTTTCCCTCCTGGCCCGGAGCGAGTCGACTCCTCCTCCGCCCTTTCCCGCTAGACCCCCACCTTTTTCTCTCTCTCCGTCACTTTCCTTCGGTCTTTTCGTTCCTCGCCGCGTTTTTGCGCCTCTTTTTCGATCGCTGCTCGATTTCTGCTTTCCTCGACCACTCCGACGGTCGCGTTTCTCCCGAAACCCCGGGATAGAGTTTCTTCCCCGTTTCGCCGCTCCTCGTCGCTCTCCTTCGATTTTCTCCGTTCCTTTTCTTTGTTCTTCCGTTTCGTTTCCTCCTGGCCGTGCTCGTAACTCCGCGACGGAGTAGGATTTCCGAGGAACCCGAGACGAGGGATGAATCAAGGACACGGTTCGCGTCCTCGATCCCGCGATGACGTCCCCGTTCGTAATCGTACTTCCATTACGTGAAAAAAAAAAGAAGAAAAAAAATACAAGGAAAGAAATCGTTCACCTCCCCGTTCGCGCGTTTATTTCCAGAGGATTACTCGAAAGCTATCGCATTCGTCATGTGCTCGCCGATGGTATCAGCGATTTCCCAAGCTTTTTTTTTTTCCATGGTCTCGAGGATGATCTAACGGCGCGTTCAAGATGGCGGATGTGGGACATGGGAACGTTTCGAGAATCCTCCTCCTTTTGCAATTTTCCTCCCACGGAAAACAATCGCCGTGCCCCTTCGGAAGCGTGACAATTGCGACAACCGAGTGACCGAAATTTTAGAAGTTTGCCAATTCTTTCTCCGTCCGCCTCCTTCCTTCTCGATTTCCCGCAAATCCTAACTTTATCGACGCCTTCCGTGAGAAAGCCGTTGCGCGATCGGGCAAACGATGACGTCCTCGCATCTTACTCAGTGATACTGTATTTCGTTGCTCAAGCAGCGTGCTAATTGCACAAGAGGCGAGGAATGATTCGCAATTTATGTATCGCTCCTTCGATTATTTTCTTTACCCCGAGTTTCGCGATATTTCATCCTTCTGCATCGGCGCGTTCTCGAACGCCTAACGGGACGGCTGCCAATTGGCATCTTCGGGATTCCTGAGTCGATACTAAGAAACGAATCGAGGACACGCGGCTCGATGACATCAGACAATGACGTTTCCTGTTCACTAACCGTAACCACTTACAGGCGTTACACCTTTCGCGCAATTTCTTTTATACTTATGATAATCAATTACGCGCGAGGTATGCCGAGTCAAAGTGCGCCTACTCGAGAGAGTTGCGAAGCGGACTCTAACGAAGCTCGGCGGAGCCTTCGGAATTTTTCGCCACGGATTTCATCTCGGAACTCGTTCGACTCGGCGTTAACTTTTCGCTCGATATGTACGCTCTTCTATTCGATTCGCTTCCCTCGCCGGGGCGGAAGTAAACTTTACGTAATCGACCGTGGGGTTTACCGCTATCCGAATGGTCCAGCTCCAGGGTCTATTATCGCTTGGAAGCGGTACCGTCGGAATCGCGCAAAAAAATGGCGAACCATCCCAGCGGCAATTATCGAGAATACCCGAGTTAGATAACGAATGGACTCGTTAAGCGGAAATTTCACTCCGGGGTTCTTACGGAACGAGGAAACGAAATAGCGCGCCGTTTCCCCGCGGAATGCGACCTTCGCGAATAAATATCGAGCGCCTCCGTATAAACGTTATCCAACGGAAAGTCGGAACGAACCGGCGATTCCTTGACGGATCGGTCGCATTGGGCCGATCTCGCGGCGCAAAAGGACCTCGACGTTTAAACGACGTCATCCCCCTGCCCTTGCTCCCGTTTAGCCTCCGCGAGATTCGTTATTATTTGGTACGTTTTTCAGCCCTCCGGGACGGGAGCCGAAGAGGAAGGCCCCCGACCTCGTCACGGTCAACCTTGCGCGAAGAAAAGGCAGCCATAACGACCGAGCGAGGAAAGTTCCCAGGAAATTGCGGAGTGAGGTAAGACTGGGTCGATGCATTACATTTAATGCGAACTTATTACCCGGCTGCAAGTACCGGAGCCGCGCGAGAAAGTTGGCTCTCCCCTTTCTCCTAGTCTCTCTCCGGCGTTTCGTCTCTCTCGAAAAGCTGCCCTCGAAAAGTCTCCTGGTGCGGACTCGAGGACTCGTTCACCTCCGAACTCCGGGGGAAAAGGGGAGACGCGACGGATCCGTCCCGTTTCCACGGTGGAGGATCGCGAAGTGTGACGGTCGAGCGAGTCGAGAGCGCCGGAGAAAATCTAACGGGACAAAACTCGGCCGGTTAGGCTCGCCTACATCGCTCGTCTTGGTTACGTCCTCGAGTTTCGTAACCTACACCCCGTTTCGTAACGAAACGCGTTCGCGGGTCCGCGCACCCGGGCGAAGCTTCACGCTCCGAGGAGCCCGACCAGGAATTCGAGCCCGAGAGGAATTCGCCGCTCCGCGGAAGGCCGTTTGCTTCGAAGGATATCCGAAACGCTCCGCTAGTCGTAATGCCTTCGGGCAAGGTGAAGTTTGCAGCCTTGACTTACGTCCGATCGCCGCGGCCCTCGACGCGGGGATCGGGATGGAAGGAAGGCCGGAAGAAACCGGGCCGTCGAGGGGAGAATCTTAGGTACGAGGCGCTCCGACGTGAACTTGGCAGTCGAAACGGATCGCCTCCGAATCGACGCGTTCGGAGGCGCGTTCGATGGCGGGCCTTGAAGAGAGGCGAAAGCGGAGGTTCAATGCCAAGGCGAGAACGGCGCCGAAACTCGTCGGGCCAGACTTACCTCGAATTCGGATGCAGCTCGAACGTAAACGGGCCCGATGGACTCGATCGCCGTAAAGAAAAAGAAAAAGAAACGAGAGAGGTGACCCGCGCTCGAGCTTTCCGCCACGGAGCATGCAAATCGGTCCGACCTCGACGTTTCGCGCCCGGAAGACGAAATTGGACGAAATAACGGGTTCTAAGACGTCCGGCCGTGTTCTAACGATCCCGGCTAAACTTTCTCGGCGGAAGTCGAGCGGTCGTTAGCGCCGATGGAAGTTGACACTCGAAACCCGTTTAGGCGGCATTAAAGGCGCCTTTAGGGTCGGGATCCTTGAGCGGAGCCGTACAAGTTCAGCGCGAAGATATTGCCCTCGACGGCTGCGCCGGAATTTTTGAGGTTAGGGTTGCCGCGGTGGGAGAAGAGAGCGGGAGGAAGGACGCCGGTACGGCCGCCCACTGGCATAATATCGGCCAACTTTCACGTTACGATCTCTCTTACGCGTAAGAAAGTGCACATGTAACACTTACATTACGGGACCAACGTAACTTCCGCGGAGCTTTCGGGCAAAGGAATCGGAGAGGAAAGGGTCGCCTCGTATCGGTGGATACGTCGATTCAAAAATCCGCGAGTATCTCGAGGTCCCGCACCGTCCGCGGCGGATTATTATTTTACGGTTCGCGAATCGCGTTATTGCCGGGGAATATGATTCACGGGAGAAGGGAAGGGACGGAAGAAGGGGCTGTCGATTCGCGGAGGAAGCGGTAGAGGTTATGGCGAGTGTTCCACTTTTATATTTTTAACGCGGCCCCTACCTTCTTTTGGTCTACTTTCCGTGCCGGCGCCCGTAACGAGCCCGAGCTCCGGTAAATATTTACAGTTAACGTCGTTACGTAATACGTACATCGAGCACGCGGGATCCCGCCAACGAGCTCGAAATTTCGCCTCCCAAGGGGAGCCATTTTTTCCTTTGACGGTAGTATGGCCCTTCCGGAAATTCTTAACCATCGCGGGTCGACGCAGGACGCGGCATCGTTGAAATCCCTAGGAAAATGGCGATATCGTGCCGTTCTCCCCCTACCGTTAAAGGGAGGAAAGACGACCGTTGTTCTCTCGTTGAATTTCAAATTACTTCCCGATAGTTTACGTAACTCCGGTTTCAAGGCCAGTTGCCGATTGGCATCGCCGCGACGTTATCGCGTCTACTAACAATGTTGCCATTAAGGTTAACTTTAACCGCTGCGTTATGCGCTTTGGTTACGTGCGCCACGACCTTGCGTACCAGAATTTATCGAGCCGCGTTAAACCTCGATTACCGACTTGTCAATGGTTATTTCTGGTTTTTATTTCGCTTTGCTCCGACAACCGGCTGCCGGGAAACGGAAGGCCGTAAGTCCGACGTGACGTACGTTGAGGCCGAACGAGTGCCCGGTGGGCATAATAAATTTATCGTAAAGACCCGATTTTAACGAAATCGGCGCGATTTCGACAGTACCGCGGTCAAGGCCCGAGGACCTCGAGAGGCGGCGCCGGTAATTAATTGATTACTTCTATCGCTGACATTTTCCGATTTCCTCTCCTTCCTCGAGGCGCCCTCGAATTTACGGCGACGACGGATCTCCGTCGGGCGGGTCGGCGGAAAATCGGGAATGGCGGGTAAACGCGGGTGAGTCTCGTCGATAACGCGTAATTACGCGATGCAGGAAGGTGTGCGGCAACCTTGAGGACGGTATGGAAATTCTGACCTCGTCGACTCATCAAGTGAGGACGGAATTCTCGCGGCCGTACATCGGACTCGAAGGGTAACGGGTCGAAGGTGTACAAGACTTTAAATTAAACCAATTGCCGGTTAAACGGACTCTCGGGTAATTCATTACGACCATTTCATTATTTTCCCCTTCGAGAATCGCTGCACAAAATGACCTTACGAGTGCAGCTTAGGGTGCTCAAGTGGGTCAGGGCAAAATTGAAATAATCGACTTGATCTCGGCGCTTGTCATAAAATGAGAAAAATAACGAATAAATTCTACTCACGAAACCGGAGATTCCGTAGCCAGGTCTCGCATCCAGGAATTTGATTTCGGCCCCGAAAGCTCCGGTTCCCTTGGTCGAACCTTCTTTCCCGGATAATCCGGTATCTCGACAGGAAGTCTCGTCGGTCCTCTTCCGTTTGGGGTCTTTTGTAGTTGGTACCGCTGGTTTCCTCTATGTAGGGCACTGGGTCGCCTGAATTTCCCGTTTGCCCACGTCCTGTCTCTGCGACCGAGTACCTTCCTACGCGATCCTTTAATCGACGCGTACATGTACGAGCAAGCCTTCGAGATTTTCCCCGTATATCTCAAAAGTACTTTTATTCACAATTAAAGCGGAATTGATAAACGGATTGATAACGGATTCCGTGGGGTAGACTGCAGTTTACCGATCGGCCGTTACGCAAGGGACGGGATCCATCGTGCTCGGACGAAGACTAAACCGCTTCCTTCGTTATTATATTGTTGCAGACTCTTTGCGGAGACCAGCGCAGACGATATTACATCATTGTTTTCATACAAACGATTATACGCAAGATGGCGTTGCATAATAGGAGTATACTCGTTTTTAATCGCATGTTTACATCTTACGTGTGACCTCACGGTTGGTTTTTTGCATTCAGCAATTACTCTATCGCAATTTCAACGAATCGCGGAGCCGCTGCAGGATTTTCTTAATTTTTTGTCGATTTATCTTTAGCACACCCCTATTACGCGTCTTTCGGATCGATTTCGACCGAGGTGACTAAATTTATCGTTAGCGCAACGTATAAATAATTGAACGAGCGTCGCGACGCAGCACCTGATTTTAATCCCCGCCGTCCGTTCCCTTGTTTTTTTTTAAGGTCTGCGCCGATTTCCAAAAAAGTCCTTGCCTCTGACGTCGATGCTCCGTCAAAGGCGACTCGGCGAGGGACAATAGGAGCCGGAATGGCGGCGGTTTAATGCCGTCGTCGACTGCAAGAAGGACGCTGCCGCGTCCTTACGCTACGAAGTGACCCGCCCCGACGCTCCCGAATAACTTCCGGATTTGAGACATTTCGAGGATGTGCAAGAGATTTTCGCAAGGTCTACCGGAAGTCGATCTACGCGGCTCCATCGGTAAGCAACTTCCGGTTGCGTCGTCGAGTTATGCGAATGGATGCAGTGACGTCAATGACTCGCACTCGACGTCGGGGACGATGAATCATCGAACCGGTCAGCCATCGACTGTCGACCGTGTCGAAATTGATTTCCTGCGCTTGTGAAAATATGATCGAGCGTTCGATTCTCCGGGAAAACCCGCGGAGGGCGAGAAAAGGTTGAATCGATCGTTCCAGGGTGATCCCGGCGGAGCGCGAGGTCGGCCATCGGTTTGCGGAATCGGGATATTAATTTCCCGTGGATCGCGTTTAACGGCGACCCTATCCAGGTGTCGTTTACGGCACGGAGGAACGACAATCGCGGCCCGAGATTGGCCAACCGCAAACACAACGGAGGAGCGGAGGTCGCAATTGGGCAAGAGGATGAGCGACCCGACTTCCTGCGGGCCTATCGATGCCGATAAAGCCAGCCGGCAACCGGCAACCGGCGACGATGAGGCAATGCATAACGGAATACACGCCGAAGCGTTAGGCAACCCGCCGCGAGAGGATTCATTCCGACTCCGTTCCGTCTGGTTATCCTCGATACGAGAACCAGCCGAGTCGATACCCTCCACCGAACGATCCTACCTGTCGATCCCTGGCCTCGAACGCCACGCGGGACAAATGTCACTCGCTTCCGTGAGCCGCGTATCGATAATTAGCACGAGCCGATCGTCGGGAAAAAATGTCGATTCTCGGTCCAGTAACCGCAGCGCCAGGAATTCCTCCATCCAGCGATCGGCATAGTTTATTCCCCGCCGTAGATTGTCAAAACATCGCAATGAAACGTGCGTTTTAGTGCAAAGAAATCTCGTTTAAATTACAGACTCGTCGGACAGTTGTATGCGGTTTATATCGGTGCAATTACATCGCGCGATAGCGCTCCCGGAGTAAATCGTGGGTGCAGCATTTTAGCGATTTGTTTCAGCGCATTATCATTATTATGCTGCCCCGGATACGCTCGACGGCGTCCCAGATCTCGCACCGTCGAGTCGCGAATGTGGAGCAAAGGTGAGACCTCTTTTAGAGAACGCGGCGGTACCACCACCAGCGACTCCGTCCGCGAGGAGCCTCGAGGAGATCGCCGACAGGTTACCGTTAAGCTATGCACCGATAGCTCCTCGAAGCGAGCTCCTTTCGGCTCGTTTTGACTCGCCCCGTTCCCCCGTTCCCCCGTTTCCACCGACGTCTCATTGTCCCGAGACTCCCGCGAACGATTGGAAGAGGCGCCGTGTCCGATATTACGTAACGAATTAACGGTCATGGCGGACCGAGACCCGCGGTCTAACGGGACCGGAAGAGCGACATCGATCGGAACCTGATTCCGACGCCGGGAGATCGTTAGCGCATAACGCCGGCGTATTACGTATGCAATCGATGCCGGCCGATAACGCGAAGTCGACGGGGGACGGCGGCTCGTCCGAGGGGAATCCGTCGAGAGGGTCGGTCTTCCCGCGTAGGCGTCCCCGAACGTTGCCAACTTCTTCGCCGTTTACCGTTAACCAATTTATCCCGATCCACGAGCGGCACGTGGACAGTGGGCGGAGTTTCCATTGACCTGGCCTCTCGTTTAACGGATTTCGGGGCGGAGAGGGAAGGCGGATTCGGTGGCTCCTGGGCGAAGGGCCCGGCACCGTTGAAAGTCAGAGTTACGCCGATCCCCGTTACAACGGTTACCTAACCTAATAAGCGACGACGAGTCCGAGCACCGGGAGGATTCACGGTCTCGGCCCCGAGGAGCCGAAACGTCTCGGGCGAACGCGACCTTCCGGCTTACGAGATGCCGTTACCTCGTCCCGTCCCGTCCCGGACCGGGACGTTCGATCGTCGCGACGAGTTCGGGCCGGGCAAGAAATGGATGCTGCGCCGATGGCGGAAGCCTCGACCGGGGTCCCGATCGAGGTAAGTAGTTGTCAGCGCCCGGCGATCGATGTCGAAGCCGAACGGAGCCGAGGCTTTCCGTTTTGCATCGAGGACAAAAGATTTAGCTCGAAACTCGAGCGGTCGGAATTGACCTTTCATCTTGCGGTGGCTTGACGTAACGGGTAATAAGTCCCGTTACGGGCTACGGCTTCGAACCGATTCGATGTCGATCTTTTCGGACCCGATCCGACCGAAGGCTCCGTTTCCCCCGATCCTCGATAACGTTAACGGCTTCGACCCCCCTCTGAATGTCCACGAGTACGTCATAATCGTAGACGTCGCGGCCCGAGTCGACGGAGTTGGCGTTTCTCGTCGGCAATGTCCGAACGTCAGCTTTTTACGGCACACCCGACCCCGCCGAGGGACGGTCGAAATTCTTTTCCCCACTCGATTCCCCGGGTGAATGCGTTAACGAAATTCACGGTTGGGAATGGGACGACCAGAACGAGGTATACGGTACTTTCGCTAAGTAGACCTTGAAAGGTGCTCTAATGCCGTTAGAGCATCGAGTGCCGACTCGCTCGGGGGCGAGACGGACGTCCGCGCCATGGGAATCCGTATCGTTGCTCTCCGGGATTCTTCTCGGCTCGTCATCCCTCGAGGAAACGATTGTTCCCTCCCAGTCGGGGGCCTCCGTCGCGGAATTCCCCCAGGGCGTTTTGGCGTCCCTCCCGCTTTCCCGACGTGGCGTAAAGTCGCGAATGGAACGACGAGGCGAGGCGGGGCGGGGCGATCGGATAAGCTAATTTCAGTGTTCACGGGGTTTACGATGTCCTTAGTGTTTACCCAGCCGGTGTCGAGCTCGCCGGGAGAGCGTCGCGGCGGCGTTGCGTCGACCGTAACGAGCGTCTCTCTACAATGTGATAATACCTACCGTAACGCCGCGAGAGGATTCCTTGGTTTACGTAACGGGTGACCTACGTCGCCGATCGATTAATGCTTTCGTTACGAAATATTTAATGCCCGCGCGGGTAATTTGCATTACACGGAGGATGATCATCCGTGTCTAGGACTCCGCGACTCGTCTCTAAGGGAGGGGGGCGAGATGGCCTACATGTCGAATGCGATCCGCGCGGGCTCGGGCAGCGATTTCGCGCCTTCCTACGTGAGTCCTTTCGGGCGACTTTCCCGAAGAAGCTCGCTCTTTGTGTCCGACTCGCTCCTCGACGACGTCGCCGTAATCCGACGTGGGCAGACGCGGGCGGACGCGGGCCGGAAAGCGAAAAGGAAGAAACGACCCTTGGCCGCCTAACGCGTCGAGTCTCGCGCGCGAAAGGGAGGAGGGACTCGCGGCTCCTTTAAAAATAAGGCCCGCCGAGGACGCCCTCCACCGGGCGTCGTTAACGCGCCACCGAAAATAAAGCTCCTCTTACGAGGACGGGGACAAAGGAGCGGGGGAGACGCGCCTTCGCCCCGCTCCGTCCGATTCCGCGAACCTGCGCGTAACCCGCCGGAACGCGGACGGACGGACCGACGGAGAGACGGACGGATAAATCACCGGGAGCGCCGACGTCCCGGCAAAGGCCAGACAAAAATCGTCGAAAAATCGTCGAAAAATCGTCGAAAATCGGCGGAGGCGCCGCCCACTCGAGGTCTTTGTCTCGGCCTCCGATCCTAACCGGGGAAGGGTCGACTCGCGTCCAGCCGGGGTCAGGGTGCTCTCCGACCTCTTCGGAACGATTTCGAGAGGCCGGGTGGGATTTATTCCGGGAGTCGGTCGCTCGCGGCTCGTTCTCCAACGGCGGCCATGTTGGTCAGCAAAAGGACAAAGGCATCGAAAGGTGAACGTTACACGGGCCAACTAGCAGTGGGGTAACGCAGATCTCGTATCTCGCCATTCCGCGGAGTGAAAGCCAACAACCTTGATTTAATAATAAAGGTTGCGGATCCCCTCTCCGGTCGTTTATGCGGCCGCGTGGGCGCTCCAATAAAAATAGCCAGACTCGACTGCGCCCCTTTGACTCTTAACCCGCGAACGAAGTCGTTTCTCCGCTCGAACCGTGACACCGCCGAGAGACGCCGAGAGACGCGGACAAGGGAAAGAGACATTTTTCGAATTCGCCGCTCTCTTTCTTCTGCGCCCGCGAGCCGTCTAAAAAGGGACCGCCACTTTTTCTTCCCCCGGGCTAAACCGGGCGGCTTTCATCTCCGGGGGAAACGCGCCCGTCGAAACTCTCCTAGAGCGGGAGGGAGGAGATCTCGAGCCCGGGCTCGAATTTCAAGGTGGTCGAAGATCGACTTCTCGATCCTCGATATCGCGAGGATCCGATCCGAAGGTCCGACCTAGTCCCGTTTTCGCGGAATTTCGCAACGAGCCGGGCAGCCGTCGAGGCCGTAAGGTATTCCAGAGACCGCGTTGCGGTCGTTACGCGTACGCGTGTCCGCGCCCGAGCGCGCGTGCGTATCCAACGGTGAGATATTGCCCGTTACGTAACGACAAGCTAGGAGAAGCGTAAGTGGGCGAACTATGCGAACCGGTCACGTGCTGCCGAGATACGGCACAGCCTCGTAACGGTCGGCCATTGTACCTTTTCCCGGTTCCCCAGAAGGAGTCGAGCAAGATTTCGATTTTCCGGGGTTTCGAGTTCAATCCGCCCGGCGGAAACGGCCGACGGTCGCGTAACCCTCGAGTTAGGCGCGGGGCCCGGCTAATGTCCCCCCCGATGGTCCCGCGATTATTACCGATATCATTTAGTTACGTGTCATCCGTGACCCCGTTGGACAGAAGTGTGACACTTATGCAACCGTACCTACGATACGCGTGCGGTTATCCGGCCTTCCCGGCGAGGCCTGGATCGGGATTTTTATTACTTCGCCTCCGAGAGAGGTAGGAGAGAAGGTACCCCGGTGCGAGAGATCGATCGACGGTTATTGCGCGTTAACCGTAAAAAGTGCATTAGGCGGGGTCGCCGCGTCGAATGGGCAGACTCTTGCATCATGCGCGACCTTGCAGTCGCGGCGGCCGTCGAACTCTCGTTCGCGCATACATTCAGGGTCAGAAAGCGGGATGACGCAACCGGCCGAGCGACGCGTCCGCGACTAAAAACCCGGAGGGACAAAGGCGACCGCCCGCGGAAAAATCGCGTCGCCCGGATTTCCCGGGGATTTCGAGTTTCCGCGGACGACGAGGTAAGGGAGGAGAAAATAATCGGTCGCGGACTTCGCCCCCCAAGGGGGGCGGGGCGACGGGGCGCGAAAACAGGATGCCTTGCGTCCGCCCCGTCCGGTCGATTCATCGCATTTTCGATATTGCCGGTGCAGCGGGGCCGTCAACAAATGTTGCGCAACGTGGCGCAACCGCTTTATCGCGAGTCCGCCGGGAAGTCCGATTGGCGGAGACGCGTCAATGGAGTCGCGACCGATCGTCCCCGGGTCATCGGTTTTCGCGTTACAGGTCGCTTCGGGCGGGTTCAACGGCCCCGTGTTTCTCGAGGCTGCGACGCGACACCTCCTCGATACCGTGACGAGCCGCTTCGAGTCGCGCCCGTAAAGGACGAATTTTTTTATTTAACCCTGCGAAGGAACGCGGATCGGTTTATCGCGGCCGGCCGAGTCGACGGGGAGGAAAAACGCGGCGGGGGGCTCGGCGCGAAAAGGAAACGGTCGGTCGGGTGACGAGTCGGACTTCTTCGAACCGGATAACAAATTTTGATAAAGATCCCAAAGCGAGTAGGAGTAATCACGCCACTCCGCGTCCCAGACGGCAACAAAGACGATCGTGTTTACCGCGAAAGCCGACGGGAAACAATCGACATTTCGACAAGGTCACCTCCGCATTTTCGGCGCATTTAGAGAGACCGTCTCCTCTACCTCGTAGCGCGTTGCACATACGTGCCGGCACCCTTGGAATCTCGGTCTCCTCTTCGCGCCGAGGCGGCGTTAGGGGGCGAAATCGCCCGCGAGCGTTAATAGAGAA